AAGTGTGAACAACCCAGTTGTATTGAAATTAAAAAAGCATTGAAGGTTAAAACAGCAAAAACACACGGACTCTCTTTCAATTATGGTTATAAATAACTGGGGAATGTTTTTTTTCTGTATTTTAGAAATACTCAAAAAATTTGTGTACATACATACATGTTTACGTGCTTTAAGTACGCGTGCGATCTTCAATCAATGGCTATAGTGAACAAGTTAAAATAAAAATGCACTACGAATGGGAGCTATAGGGCAAACTTTAAGAGCTGTGGTTTCTCCAACTCAACTCAACTTAGTTTAGCCATTTTTTGGACTTAAGTCAAAAGTTAGCCTACTTTTTATTCAGTCAAGAATAACTAAGTCCAAAAAATTGGCTAAACTAAGTTAAGTTGAGTTGAAGAAACCAGCCCTAAGACTTCTTCATGCACATAATTTTTCTTCAAGCTCAGCAAAAACTGTAATCAAAATGTGTATTTTAATAAAAAAAAAATGCATTTTACTACATAGCAGCTTCCATGCATTGCGAAAGTCATTTAAAATTCCATTCATGCCAAGCTACCTCGTCTAAATAAATCCATATTTTCTACATTGTTTTGTATTATCGAAATAATGTTAGGCTAACTCGATATTATACTGTTAATATAAAGAATTCGCAATGAGTAATTTTACCTCCATAGACATAAAAAAAACTTTCCAATGTGCCGTTTTTTTATGTATTTAACAGTTTAACAGTGTTTTTTTGTTACATGTAGTAATTTTAATGAGAAAATGGTTAGCCAAACGCCATGAAATATATGTACATACACACATGCGACTTAAAATACTTTTAGTTGACCACATTGAAACATAGAAGCGCTCATCGGTATGTGGTTGCCTTACACTTTACAAACCTTACAATAAATTATTAACGATATCATAAATTAAGTCATGAAATATAAACATGGACACCAAACAATTGAAATAATTCACAACAACAACGTACTTCACTTAAATGTTGACAATCATATTTTGTAACTGAGACAGTGTACTACCAAATTGGTTACTCTCTGGTAGACTGCGTATCTGGAGCAACCAGTGCTGGCATTCCATACATTTACGGTGACGTTCCTCGCGCGAAACATCTACTCCTAAACTATTTGACCATGGATCAATGTTATCCTGTATAATTGGCAAGAAATTGGAAAGGATCACTCGCAGCGTATCGCAACCGCGTGTGTAATGACTAGAGGAAAGTTATAAAAAAAAAATATTGAATTTTTGTAAGACCACTTTCACAAATGCACTTACAACTTGTGGGGGCTCTGCAAGAGTTCGTAGATTTCGGGTAGCAATAAAAGACACAAGTCCAAATTCCACGACGAGCTGTGAGGGTTACAATTGTATGTTTGGTATCGATTTTGCAAATACATTTTTCTTTACTTACGTTTTTTCCATTATCGCGCCTAAAAGATCAACAAACACAGTTCGACCTGTCTTTATAGCTTG